CATAACAAAATCTACAAAAATAATTGTTTAAAAGAGTAAGAGAAAATAAATAAATGAATACAATAAAATGAAGAAACAAATAACTGAAACAGAAATAAAGAGACCAGTTTGAAAAAGTAACCACGGTATCAGGCACACAGACGAAGACAAGGGACGTGAGCGAGGTCGGTACCTCAGAATTACACAGTTCTATCTGCTCAATACCTAGTTTTGAGAAATTTGACCTAAAAAATCTTGAATTTCACAATAATATGAAAAGCTTTTTCGGATACAGTTTCATTTTTGTTTGTTTGAATATCTGGGTTACCACTCTGTACAATCTTGCGATTTTGATAGAGCAGACAGAGCATTGATCTCTGATCTCATGGTCTTAGAGGGTCAAAACGGTTAAGAATGCCAGGTTGAACTTTGTCATTAATTCTGAGGTATCGAGGCGTACACTTACATTCGGTGGTGGATAGTAGGGGCTGTAAGGGTAAGATTTCCCTAGGTGTACACTTACCTGCGGCGGTGGGTAGTAGGGGTTGTAAGGGTAAGGGTTTCCCGAGGGGCCGCCGAAGCTGGTGTTGTGTTGGTTGTAAGGGTAAGGGTTTCCCGAGGGGTCGCCGGAGCTGGTGGTGTACCCTGCGTTCATCTGTGCTCCATTCATGTTGTCGTAGTTTGGTGGTGGGAATTTAGCTGAAAATAGGGGAACCGGGTAGGGTAGGGGGGGCGGAGGAGTTGTTTTAGTAAGGTTTTACTGCGCTCGCAAATGCATAAGGTCATATGAGCGCCAAAGGGTGGATGTCAACAGAGAGGTCCATACAGGGAATCAGGCTAACTCTGCTCACCTCGCTAGCCTCAACAGCACAAAGTCTGCGTCCACTATCAAGGAACCGCGGAAATAGCAGTTCACAAGAGAGTGACAAACATACCAAAGAAGTAGAGGAAAATGACGATAGTTAGGATCAGGGGCGGTTTGTTAACTGGGCAAGACCGGTGCCGGTCAGATTTTTGTCAGCTGAACAGAGGTTTATTGCTGATGACGATTTTCATTCAGTTTTAAGTAAATCCAAACAAACATGTATCAACATTCAAAAACACCTTGTCGATTTGAAGGCGCTCAAATAGACAAGTGGGATTCACTGCTGTTTTGTCGCGACATAACCTCATGCCTTCACGTTAGTTATCGCGCCAGCTCGTAACTTTAAATCGTCTCCCGTCGAGCCGTCACGTCGCGGAACTTCGTACTACGTACGAGGCCAAACACACGGCGGGCTTGGCTTAGGCCTAGCGATGACGTCAGTCCCATGGACAAATCCATCGTCAGCCCTCAAGGGCGAAGATTACATCCCTTAATTGCCAGATTGGCCTCTTTGTATCTTACAAAATTAAGAATGAGAGCATAGACACATGTATTATTTTATCAGCAAAACATGTATTTATTATTCTGCCTTTCTCTAAGTAATATCAGAACATTTATTGTCAGCATGGCACTAATCTTTTTTGTTTATTGACTTTTTAACCACCTGTAGTTCTTGTTTGGCATTTACTC